TCTATTGAGAATGAAATTGAATAAAGATTTGATTTTCTTCCGACTAAGTAAAAGAATGAATATTTTTATGCATGTTATCCATGAAATATAATTGAATTTTCAAGGGCATCGAAAATCAATGAGAAAATTGCATACTAGATAAGTAGTTATTTTCTGTCGAGTATAGATCTTGCATGCAGCCAAATATAAGTTCTTTCGAAAGGCCGCACCCTGAAGTAACTGGATCATTATAGATTTATGCTGCATCATGATTAGTTTTACAACACTACTTAATTTATCTTTTCGAAACGAGAACGCACTTTGAAATTTTGGTTGGAATTTGATGAGTTAGCGCACCTACTGTATTTTAGTAGGAACGACTGCCATCATACCAGGATGCGCGTAGAAAATAAGGCCCTTACACATGAACAGACAAACATGTCGTAATGTGTCTTTTAATTTGGATTCAGTTTTTCATACGTAGGCGTTGCAGAAGATAGCCACTACTGTCACAATTCCATTCAGAGAAAGCTCAATATGACAACAAGGAAAACTATAGAGTTACACGCCTTCGTTGGAGGCAAATATTGAAGAAGTATATTCTTCTTTGCGGACTGCAGATAGAACCGGAGGCGACGGATGATTGAGGCGAAATAAGAAAGTATCTGTGAGCGACAATGGTTAATCAGCAGAACTCGTCCCCTGACACTGCTTTTTATAAATAAGCTAGCATTTGGCAAGGCGGTTTTAATAACCTATTGGCAGTATGCTAATCTGGCTGTTGTAGGTGCCTCGCCTTCAATGGAATGGGTAACTTCAACCCTAAACTCCATACCAATCGGCACAAACGCTGGACTGAAGTTATTCCCCTATAAATGTGGAGGCGGACAGCGCGGTCAGAGATCTCTGCAGTCATTTGGTCACAATTGTTAGTGCCCCATCAACGGTTACGGCTGATCGAGGTGCTATTTCGGATCCTATCATTTTCAATACCTACCCAATTTTTTGGGTACACACGCATGCGGACGACAGCCGACCACCCATCAACCAGCGGCATAATAGAGCTTTGCGTGTCACATGGAACCAGTGGAACTGACCTGACCGCTTGTCTCTGACACTTTTTGACATTCGCGTGGCTTTGAAGTCGGATCTGGACTGTTGTAAAATGGAAGCCAATGTTACTCCAGAAGGAAGGACAGCAAATAGACAAACGCAGGCGGGATGAGGAATTAAGACGGATATTTGATTTGACTAAAATTATCCCATATTTTTAGTAAAGGAAACTACTGCCGTGAAAACTGATCTGTCGCTGCAAGAGGACAATAAGGCTGCAGAAGACCAAACAACACACCGACGATTTCACCCCTAAATGCAATAGGTGCGGATTAAGAACCAATGAACAAGTGAAAAAGTGAACGTGGTCAGCAGTGAAGACGGTGATTATGAAGTGGGTGGCAAAGGACAGTGACGTAGTGACAGATGAGTGGAAGGGTTACACCCGTCTGCCCAGGACATGAATAATACACGGTAAACCATAGCCAAAATTTTGTCGACCGCACGACAGGCCGACATGCTGTTGCAACTGAGGGCTACTGGAGCCGCCTGAAGAGGAAACAGCAGGAGGGCGGCCCCGTATACGGTAGGACGATATGGACGCATACAGACGAACTGCAATACCAGCTCTGACATAACGTAAGAGTAGATAACTATAGAAAATGCGCCTCTCTTTGCTCGTCTGTGACCAGGGCAGCGTTTTTGATCCTTGATAAAAAGCTGCGTTATTTAGAAGACTACAGATGCCAGGACCATCAAGAATAAAAGTATGAGGCTGCAGCTGAGTTTAGCATGTACAAAGACAATACTCGTGTAATTAAAATCCCGTCTAACTAGATTACTCAGAGCCTCATTACTCAAGCTAAAGCATGGAGTCTGAGATATTTTTTGCCATGGATGGCGCTGGTGTTTACCCGACTAGAGCTCCTTCCTGCTAACACCATCGTCTCCCATAGACGTGACCGGAATTTCCAAGGCAGTATACAGTAGGTGGGCTAACTCATAAAATGCCAAAGAAAATCTCGAAAAAATTAAATAAGTAGGGTTGTAAAACTAGTCAGTCTGCAACAGAATTCTATGATATTTCAGTTACTTCAGGATGTCGGCTTATGAATAAACTTCCTTTCGGCTGCCTTAAAAAACTAAACTCTGTAAAATATGACAACATAAGTGGCATGAATTGTTCTCATTGATTGTCGATGCCTCTAAAAGTCCAATTATATTTCATGGGTAACAAGTATAAAAATGCGGATTTTTCTGCTCATTCGGAAGAAAATTACGACTTCTTCCAGTTTTATACTCAAAGGAGGGAGATAATTTGGTTTTAAAAGCTTTCTAATTGTGAAACGTTTAAAGATCGTTAAGTGGTCGTGCATAAATCTTCATATCTCTGCGTTTACCAATGTGGTTCTTAAAGTTAACAATTGAGATCAAATCCACTGATAAATGTTTTGAACCCCATATAGTTCCCCTTTATTACCATAGAGAAAGCTGTGGTTTTCCGTGCAGGGAAAATATACGGCTTGTAGTTTATAAACCCTGAATCAGGGCGTAACAATATAGGGGGTTCAAAATTATTTAGGAATAGGGAAAAGTTTCTGAAAACCGAATAATACCCTTTTGAGTATAAAATTGCAGAAAGACGTCATTTTCGACCGAATAAGTAAAATTGAATATGTTTATGCATGTTTTCCACGTAATATAATTAAATATTTAAGAATGAGAAAAAGACGACAGGGAAGACTACGGAGAAAGGTCGCAAAAATCCGAGGGCGAAGGTGTCAGACTCGCTAGAAAGGAAACCGAGGGCCGAGGAAGAAAATGCTAAAGATGGGTCGACAAAAGTGGAAAACAGTCCCCAGACAGTATGCGCACCTCCTCAGGCCAATGTGAGGGAAGTGTCGACCAAAACAAGGCCGAATAAAAAAGAATCCAGAGTGGGGTGGAAGTAAATACTCTCACGAATATTCATGCAGTTAGCGTCGAAGCCCAATTTGGAGAAGCCTCATCATCGGTCAGACCAATTATCCAACAAAATTCGTGACGGAGGCGTTGTGGACAGATAACATTGCATAGTCGTCCATGGACTTTCTGAAATAACCAACGATAACCCCCCGATGTTGGATAAATGATGATATCGTGTCCTTGCCAGTGTGTCTGGGAAGCATAATAAAAAGATGACGCAATCAAGATTCTGAAACTTTTACGAATAAACAGTAAAGATAGTGCGAGCTCTCAAGGGATGAAACCAAGGTATTTAAAGATAGTTTTAGAAAGTAAAATCCGGAGGGATCTTCTACTTGAATGAATAGCACGGGAGATCCCTGGCCATAGAGGTCTTTTTTTTTTCCGGATTACGCAGTACGAAAGAGAATGAAATAGAGGGCGCTGAAGGTGGAGTTGGCGCTCTTGAAAGAACAAGGAGAGAAAGGACTAGTAATAATGAACGGAGTGATTGTTCGACGTCAAAGACTCCTCCTGTGGAGGACGCCTGTCATACTGACGAAGGTCACATGGCCAGGCAACTAATTTGACGTAACAACCTACATAAAATTAAGTTCTTCTACGGAACTGTACAAAGCTTCTTGAACAAATTCGACGAACTTAAAATAATTGTGGCCGAACTATGTCCTGATTTTATTGCATTAACTGAAAAGTGGCTCACCCCACATTTCACAGACCCCCAAATACAGTTAGATGGTTATCAAATGCTAAGACGAGACCGAACCAAAAAGCTGGGTGGCAAAGTTACCCTATATATCAGCAATGCGGTCGAATATAACCCTGTTGAAGAATGTGTAAATGAGCATGATCTGGAGATGCTGCAGTGTCATTAGCTTGTCCGCAAAGCCGAAAACGTTATTACCACCGATGTATATAGGCCTCCAAATTAACCTGCCAACGAAGATCAAGCGTTAATCGCTCGACTCTGCGAGGACGGTCGAAAGAAAAACATTATTATTGTAGGAGATTTCAATGTTCCGCGGGTTATTTGGCACCTTATGACAGCTAAGGGCCCCAGACTAGTATTCGATTAAATGCTGCTAGACATGGCATTTGATGAATTTCTGTTTCCAAATGTATGAAATGTGACTCGGATTGGTGAAGGTCACAGAGCTAGTTGCCTAGACCTTGTGTTTGCCAAGAACGAGGAAAGCGTTGATGAAATAAATGAAGGCCCGCCCCTAGGTTCTTGTAAACACATGACATTAATTTGGGAGTCGACACTCGTAGCTGTCGTTAAGAAATGTCTGGCGGGGTACATTGAGGCAAAGAAATCCGATATTGGACATACACTGTGGACGGAAGCATTACGATGAGATGTCAACGAATGCTGGACAAGCTTACTATCAACTATAAGAGACTTGATTCAATGATACTGTCTTCTCAAGACACATCCAACCGGAAACAAACCGCAATATCTGACAACATCGGTTAAGAAGGAAATCCGAAAAAAGCAAGCTGTAGAAAATCTTACAAACGTAGAGCCCAAAAAAATTAAGGAATTCAGACAACAGCGAAACTTTTGCAAAAGACTCATCCGCGAAGTACGAGATTTTTATGAACTGATGCTCCTGGAAGAAGCGCAGCAAAAACCTAAAGCGTTCTTTGCATATACCAAGAGCAATACGAAAAACCTGGATCATATGAAAACCTTAAAGGACAAAAATAACCCCATTGTGAGCGATGGCTTTCAAAAAGCCGAACTTCTTTCCGAGTTTTCCCAAAGTGCCTACACCACGGAACCACCACTTCAGTCCTCTTCTCTTCCACTGCTAGCCAACCTACCTTTTATAAGCAGAGTATTATTTACTGCACAGTTCGTTTAGCAGAGCTAAATAAGCTGGGTCCGGCCAAGTCACGTGAACCACATGAGATCCCAGGCTACGTCAGCTAGCCGAATAATTTGCAGAGCCACTTTCTACAATCTTCCAAAAATCTCTGGAAACTGGCAAACTGCCTTACACATGGAAGTTGACAAACGTCGTACCTATCCTCAAGGGAGAAGCACGACTCTGTCCGACCAACTACTGACCGGTGAGTGGCATGCATTTGCTGCAAACTGATGGAAACGTTTGTTAAAAATCAATTACATCACTCAATACATTCCGCTGTCACAACACTTCAGTTCAACATGGCTTCTGCAAAAATAGGTCTTGCCTCACAAACCTGCATACGTCACTCGAACATTGGTCAAAGGCCAGGGATGAAGGACACCCAGTTGATGTCATTTACTTCGACTTCACCAAGGCGTTCGATTGCGTCTCACTTAAGCGCCTCATTCAAAAGTTGTCAGAAGTAGGGATGGAAGGAAATCTTCTGAACTGGATTCAAGATTACCTTAACGGTCTACGACAAAAAGTCATTGCGGGTGGCTACTGCTCAGAATGGACACCTGTTACAATTGGAGTCTTACAGGGGTCAGTTCTTGGTCCGCTCCTATTCATTATCTATGTAAATGACCTAGTACGGGAAGTGAACTCGGAAATAGCGCGCTTTGCAGACGATCTTAAACTTTGGAGAGCGATAAAAGATGAAGATGTCGTCAATATAGTACAAGAGAACGTCAAGAATTTGCACGCATGGAGGGAGAAATGGTGCATGAAATTCAACGTCAAAAAATGTGCGGTAATGCAAGTGGTATCAGCGAGGCGAAGAACAAATGCACCCACACGACAGTATCTCCTTGACAATCAACCATTTTAAACCGTCGCTGTGCAAAAAGAACCTGGTGTATTTATTAAAGACGATCTGGGCGCCACCACGCAGTGTTCTAAAGTCGCAGCGCGGGCGATGCCAATTATGAGCGCAATACACAAACCGTTTAATTACTTGAATAAAGATGCACTTGACAAAGTATACGGGACATTTGTGCGGCCACACCTGGAATATGCGGTACAGGCTTAACGGCCGTGGCTTCGGAAGGATATAGATATCCTTGAAGGTGTACAACGGCGTGCTACAAAGGCTGTTCATGGCCTCAAAAATGTCACGTATGAGCAGCGCCTGACGGCCTTGAACCTCTATCCCCTCCACTACACGCAGGAGAGAGGTGACCTCCTAGCAACGTTCCAGGTGGTAAAAGTACTTAATCTGGATGTCGGCTGGGAAACGTTTTTTGAAATGACAGACGAGTCTAATCTCAGACGACATTATTACCAGCTTAAAATGGAACTATGCATCACAAATCAACGTTCCTCCTTTTTCTCACAGAGGGACATTCGCCAATGGAACTCGTTGCCGGAGTATGTTGTTAATTCTCCTACCGTGAACGTGTGCAAAAGACAACTGGATGCTCACCTGCTGAAAGGCAACCTGAATTGCCGAAGCTCGATCTAACGGATTACGGAAATGACTATACATATACCACTAACAGGATTATTACAGATCCTTTTTTGTGCGATACACTTAGCTCATATGGAAATTTTCACAGTCCGAGTGCGGTAAACAAAGTTTTTCGCAGTTATTTCGCGAATTTCTTACCAATTTCGCCTTTATTTTACATTATTAGATTTATGAAATCTCCTAACTAAAACTGCAAGCAAATGTTTTGCAATTTAACTATTTTCCCTTACATCTGTACCCTCTAAATGGAGCTTTCAGGGCTTCTATCGTTTACTCCAAATATACTGACTGAGTCTGAATCAACGACTACTTCTCACGACCTCATTCCATAACTCAAAGTCCGTTATCTTGTAAAATTTACTTCTTGTTTATTGTCTGGTTACCGCTCCCATTTCCGTCGGCGTAAGATAACGTAGGATATGACTTCCTGTATAAATCCAGGCGATCTGTGTTTTCTTTCATTTTGTCGGCCAACTGTTTAGCATGCTGCCCCTTTACTATTAAGCTCGTATGCCACAATCCACAATCTACTGACAGTTAAAAGGGGTCCTTCTCTATAGCGTTGTCAACTCGCCGTCAGGCTGTCTCCTTATGGCCTCTTTAAGTCCAGTGTGGCTGCTTAGTCCTGAGATTTACGTACGTGATAACCAAGGACATTTGTGGGCTGCAGGAAGGTCCAACGCCCGTTCGTGGAGTCGGAATCGGAGTAGCAAAACTCTAGTGTTAGCCGTTCTGCTTCTGTTTTCCACAGCCTGAGATAACAGCACTCCGGAGATCGAAATTTTGCCTAGTTTCCCCAACGGGCGTTGCTGGTTGACAGTTTAGGTCTAACATCTGAATCGACGATTTGTGCTCTTGTAGGCGGATCTGGAATATCCGCCCCGCTGCCCCAGCATATTTACAGTCGCCCTCATTGTAACTTATTTTGTGGACAACTGCTGAGATTTCAGCGGGTGGCAGTGTGTCCTTAGATTGCATCAGACGTCGCCGAATTACTACCTGTGTTTTATGCTTATGCGTAATCTGGGGGCTTGTAGCACTTGAGACACCGTCATGGAGACCCCATTAACGTAGGAGCTGACCTTCCGAAATTCGGCTTACTGTTCATTTGGCCGTCGTCTGTGTGTTGGGCGTCTGTTTCTCTTAGTAAACTTTCAAGGATAAACAATGTCTTCAAATAGGTCCTGCAGGTACGTTCGTTCGACCCTTTTATAGTCTGGCATGCTGCTGTACTTTACGAATCTTTGTAATAGAGTGTGGACGCATCTGGTTTCTTAAGTTTTTTTGAGCAGAAAATTTACTTAAATATGAAAAAGACAACACTTACAATTCCAGAGAGTCAGTTAAGTTCAGTCAGATCCAGTTTTTTGGGAGAATCGTACGTGCTGAACCTCTGAGCTCTCTGTTTGTTACTAGGAAGTGAATTAAAAGAGCGTTCTGAAAATAAAAACATCAGACATCTACATAATCATTTTCGAAACAATGCAGTAAAACTAATTGGTTCAAACCTTAAAAACACTGATATTATTAGGCGCACTACACAGTAATCAGCCTATACCTAATTGTACGATCTCAGTACGTAGTGAATGCCGAAATTCCCATTCAATGGACATCGGACGGTAACAAAATATAAAAACATAACGTTACTGATATACAGTGCGTAGTGTTACATAAACAATAAACTGTTAGAACGCAGCTGAAAGTCGATATCGGTCGAGTGACATTATGATGTGTGGTGGGATGCTTCTCCGACTTGCGCTCAAAGTCTCGACCGATGTAAACATGACAAAATCTTCAGGCAAAGCATTTCAAGTTTCAATCACTCTGTTGGAAAAGAAGAACTTTTGCGTGTCAAGGCCAGCGCCAGTCACATGTAGTTTGAGTGGATAACCTCAAAGTTTTGTTGTTGCAGCTAGTTCAAAGAAGTCTGCAGGTAAAAGACGGCAGAGTCCTTTTTAAAGGAGCCGATCTGTCTTGCATCCTCATAAAATCACAGACAAAGACAAGGAAGACTGGAATGGCCATTTCTGGCTTATTAGCCGTCGTCAGCCAGCCAAACCCAAGCCCGGAGGCTGTAACACCCGAGTCCCAAACTCGCGATCTGTTGGTGTAGAAGTCCACGTCTCTACCCAGCGGACCACGAGCCCGTTGCCCTGTCGGTTTTCGATCGGGAATATACAGTGGTAGGGGGCGCTCACCGATCGCAAATACGGAACTCACTCGTTCCGTTGTCGGTAATAGCATTCTGCCTATATATCATGCGCCGCTGTGCGGCTGCTGGTTGGGCTCGAGAGAGAGCCCTTAAGGCACGACGGAACGAGTGAGTTCCGTATGAACGATCGGTCAGCGCCGCCTACCATTGTATATTCCCGATCGAAAACCGGCAGGGCAACGAGTTCGTGGCCCGGTGGGTAGAGGCGTGGACTTCTACACCAACAGATCGCGAGTTTGGAGCTCGAGTGTTCCAGCCTCCGGGCTTGGGTTTGACTGGCTGACGACGGCTAATAAGCCAGAAATGGCCATTCCAGTCTCCCTTGTCTTTGTCGGTAATAATATTCTGCCCATATATACATATAATGATAGGGCGCTCACCGATCGTTCTTACGGAACTCACTCCTTGCGTTGTGCCTTACGAGCCTTACGTATGTGCCGCATTCATATAGTAAGTAATCCATATGCAGTGTCAATGCGCGCGCTTTGACACGCATGACGTTTTTCGTAAAATGCAAATTACCTACGCTTTGGCGAAAGAGAGCACACACACACTCACTTTACATGGGCTGTATCACGTATCCCATGCAATGTCGTCCATACTTTTTTGTAAAAGTTGAAGATGCCTTCCATACTTAATTTTATTTTTAAGGTGGATTTCAAGGAAGAGCCCGTTCCTCTTCCTATGGAATATAAACTTTCCATCTAAAGCTACGTTATTATGCGAAATGTAACGCATGCGCAACCGCTAAGTTTGAAGCAGACAGGTTTTTATTCAGGTTTCTGAGGATGCGATTTGTTGCGTAAAATGTCAGCGCCTTGCAAACAATTCTGGTAATCAACCTGATCAATTGTTAATAAATGGAGAGAGATAGATGAAGTTGATCATAAAATTGGCTTATTTACGCCACAAATTACGGCTTCCATTTCAATTCGTTGCAATATAATTAGGCAACTTGTCAGTGGACCGGGAATTTCATGACACATAACCATTTTTCTACGTGCATATTAAACATTTACAGACCAAATCAGCAATTTCGATAATTCTAGTAAGAAGCCGTGTGCTGCCCGTATATAAGATTATTATTTTTAAAACAACTCAGAAATTTTACTTTACCATGCGCATGAAAATAATGCCAAATAATGTTGTTTATTTGATGCAAGCGGAAAGTCTGTCCACCAGCAGATGTTGCGTTTAGATATAAAGAATCACGACTCCTCATTCATTCCCATGGCTATCATCATAATCACTGCATTGTTCAATGCGCTGAAGTTGTTTAGTAGTAATGCGATTTTTCGTCCCACACCAGCCCTCTTCTGGCACAGTCTCATTTCCATCCCTCTCTTCAAATAATCTGGTCCACTGCACCAAACTGCCGCTGTCACACACGACTACAGTATTACGTATTGTACACGACGTATATTTTTCCATGTACCCTACAAATAGGTAATAACATCACTTTATTAAAATATATGCAAAAATGTGTCTTTTTTAACCGAACTCATGCTGCTCGTCTGTCGCGGAATGGTAAAGTTATTCAAATGTTGCGATTGAAAGTAAAATCGATTTAGTTGGACTGTTGCAAGTTATGGAATCTGCCACAGCGTCCCAGTGTAGGCCGAAGACGCTGTGTCACGAAGCCAAAGAAATTATTCGTGCCTAGAAAAGCAAATCGGTCAAAGAAGAGAGCACGGCATTTAGTGCATACGCTACCTACGAGATGTTCATCTAACGGAGTCTTTCGGTGGACGTTTTGGAGGTAGGCGAGATTGCATTTGCAGAGCCGGAGCAGCAATAGCTTTGGCGTTCAGCACATGTTTGTCTTCCGTCTTCGTGTCATCAATTAGGTCAGCGTCTTTGGTGACTTACATGCATGTATGAAAAATGCAAAAAAGTCGTCACAGATGGAACCGTGATACCCGTTGTTTATATGAAAGCTCAAGTGAGAATTCTACTGCGTCTACTGTGTGTGTGCTGTGCTAAGCATAGTTTTTCACTTCCGTTTATGTCATGTCGTAGGGCTCTCACAATGGATTACTCTTGCCCCAGTGTCACTGCTATTGTTGCATCAACTCGGGTGTTCCGAGATTCCTCCTAAAAATAAGCGGGGACAAATGTCTTTAGACTGTGTCGCTTTCGTATGTTCTCATTTTGTGCCTTTTTTTCCATGTATTTCAGCCAAATAAAAATAACGTGCACATGTTTTTTTATAACAAAGCCATGACCAGTATCGATATGTGCGTTTGCACGCAGACTGTTAAGGTGTTGACGCATCAGGTGTAAAGCACATTATTCAGCATTAACATTCCTTGCGATTAGACGCGTTGCATATTTAAATTTCAATTACATCCTACTGTGAAAATAAAATACCCATTTCTCCAAATGTCTAATAGTGAGTATTAGGTTATACTAGAAGTATGGGGAGTGTGTAGACATCTACAATAGCCGTGTATGTTTCCAGTTATGCACGTAATTCTTAGGTACTATGATGCCTGAAATGGTTGCTAGATTTTATTTAGTACAACGTTACAAATATGTGGTATATTTGAATGGATATAAGCTATCTTCAGACACCACATCACTAGCACGTCAATTTGATTAAATCGCATGTTTTAAGGATTTTACTAATTTAAACAGATCTGTTCAGCGGTTTAATAGTAATGTTATTTTTCGTTCCACGCCGTCCCTCCTCGGATACTGACTCCCATTTCCACTCCTCTCTTCAAATAATCTTGTCCAGTGCATCAGACCGCTGCTGTCACTCATGACCACAGTATTACATATTGTAAACGACGTATATTATTCCATGTAGCCTTCCAATATGTAACAACATCACTTTGTTGACATTTAGACAAGTGTGTGTCTTTTTTATTGACCTCTTGCTGCCTTTCGGTTGCGGCTTGCTCAATTCATTCAAACGTTTTGATTGAGAGTAAAATCGATTCAGTTGGACTGTAGCAAGTTATGGGCGCTCGCACTTGCGCCAGAGACAATGCCCATAACCGCATGCGCGTTTAACTACATTAAGGCATACCGATGATCCAGTGACCTAATCCCCAAGATCCAATAACGGTATTAATTAGTAAAGCATATGTTTCGCATGCGATTTACAGGGGAACATGGAGAAATTGTAGATCGGCATGAGTAAGCGGTAGCGTCGTCGACCACTGGGACATCTACCACAGCCTGCCAGTGTAGGCTGAATGCGGCCAAAGAAATCATTCATGCATAAAAATGCAATTTGGTCAAGGAAGAGAGCACGACATTTGGTACATATAATACATACGAGATGTTCATCTAAACGAGTCTTGAGCATGCGTTGCAGTGATCTTTTTTGGAGGTAAGCAAAATTGCATTTGGAGAGGCGGAGCAACAGTGGCGCTGGCGTTCAACAAATATTTGTCATCCGTCTTCGTGTCATCAATTAGGTCAGCGTCTTTGGTGACTTATCAGATGCAGTAGGGGTGGGCAATCTCCATCGGATTACACTTTCCCGTATAGGATCAAAGGACTGAAGTAGACTGCTAACTGTCCGTGGACGCGCTGAAGAAACAAAATTCAAGGCTTTGACGGAAATGTCTCAGGGTCAACTAGATTGCAAGTCATTTCAGCCAGATATATTGAGGAATGACTGGGCAGGCGACACTTTCTTGGAGAAGAGGGTGAATGCCTCTGCTAAAACAAAAATAGGCTTTTGAGGAAGAGGGCCAATATTTACTAGGGAAGTATCCACCTCCGTGAGAGAGGAGTTACGGGAGCGAAGTGCGTCATCAAATGCGGACTGTCTTATCATTTAGTTCAAGTGGCCACTCTGAATCCCAAAGGCATAAAATGTGTCCTCCCTCCTCTTATATCTGTATTTCAAGAAATAGCCCGTTATAAAAAAAATTTCGCTTCTTAAAGAACATAAATATTCCGTAGAAAGTTACGTTGTTACGCCAAATGTTAGAAATACGGTACCGTTAAGTTTTAAAAAGACCGGTTCTCCCTCAGTATCTCGCATTCAGGTTCATGTGCATATAATTTGTCGCTTGAGAAGTCAGCGCCTTGTAAACAGTTCTGGGGATCAACCTGAACAATTGTTAATAAAATGGAGAATGTTAGAAGGACGTTAAAATAAACTCGGCTTATTTACAACCAAAAAATTTTGCTTCTGTTTTACTTCGTTAAAATATTATTAGGCAACTGTTCATTGGACGGGGAATTTCATGATACATCACTATTTTTCTAAGTGCATATCAAATATGCACAAACCAAATCAGCAATTTCGATAATTCTAGTAAGGAGCCGTGTGCTGCCAGCAATATCCAGTGTATATAAGATTATTATGGTTAAAATAACACAGAAATTTTACTTAACCATGCGCATGAAAATAACGCCAAAGAAGGTTGTTTATTTGATGCAAGTGGAAAGTCCGTCCACCAGCAGATGTATCGTTTTAACATAAAGAATCACGACCCCTCATTCATTCCCATGGCTACCATCATAATCGCTGCATTGTTCAATGTGCACAAGTTGACACAATACGTTGTTTAAATGCTTTACTCTTTTATCATATAATTGCTATTTGCACCTAGAAAATTGCTTTAAAAGGGGCCATTTCATGTAGCAATTAACACTTGCTTGAAATAAACGAAACTTATGCGAATCAGGATGGAAGAATAATAAACTTGAATTATAGTGACGGTTTTTCAGCAGCTTTTGCATTTGTCAAAGTGCAAAGGCGAAATATATTGCTAGAAAAGAAAGTTAAAATATGACTAGAGGATTCGCCGTGTGTATAGAGGGTCAAAGACTGTTAGAGTTGTAAATCTTTGTAGCCATAGTTTAAATACAAAACCTAATCCACACATGCACGCCAGAAATGTAAGTATGGATAATGACACTACACAAGACGATAAACAATTATAGAAAGAGACATTTACTGCGTTCACCAGCGTCACACCCGGTCTTTGTGGCTATTTGCCCTTAATAGTTTGGCTGAAAAATGTCATAAAGCACAGCCTCTTTTTATAAAACTGCAAATTTATTTGAACACAGCTAATACACATTTCTCATCTACAAATGCAGTATAGTTGCGATGCAAATGTAAATAAGATAATCGCTGTTAATCTTCAGCCACATACGTTGCAAATGCTGCAATCATTTGTCGGGTCATATATGACTTACATCGTCACCTGTACTATCGATGGGCAGGTCAATCATGTGGATGGCTTTTGACGAAGATGATGCGACTTAATTATTCCGTCTTTATAAATTTTGTTTTTGACAATTTTAGTTAGGGACAGTCATAGTCAATGTCCTCTGACGCTCGCACCAGCATAGCAAAACTTCTCTGTTCATATGTTTGGAATAAAACGATTAACAATCCTGTATATATGCCAAACTATAGCGTAGATTATCTGTTTCTGTGTTACGCAAAATGCAATGATGAATGCATGCATTGAAAAACCCAACAAATGGATGCAGACAAGTTGTTTTCGAAAACAACGCAGTGTCTGAACAGATGTCGTCGGGCGTACGGGTGTCTTGTCTGACTTCGAAATTGCTTTTACATATCTTCCCTCATTCAGTATGAAATGTAATTCACCCTCTACTGGCGTGGATCAAGTTTCTAATGGCTGACCGGCTAGGACGGGTTGGCTATGGCATGGAAGGGGGAAGTATGCATAGGTTGGAGCATGTAGTCATTGTCCCCAGGGCTCTTAATGCTTATTTCTCGTTATAAGCAATTGACGTGTCCTTAACCTATAATAATTCTCCGGTTGCCGTTGCTTGGAGATAATTCATTTTTCTCAACAATGGATGTCAGGCTGTGATAGATGCTTCTTAATGTTATTTCTACGGCATTCCCATTCAGTACGATCCGAATCTGGTCCATCGTGCGCGGACTAGGCGAGTATGTGTCATTGCTGTTCAGCAATGTCAGCCACGAATCCTGATACTATCTTAAATCCTTCTGTCATTACGACCCATTGCATTACTAACTCCCCCACCCCAAACTCAGGCTCAAGCTCTGTAGATTAATTTTGTTTTTAAATGTTACGTCCTGTGAAGAGATAACTGATTTTTTTCAACACTGTGGTTCAGGCTGTTATAGTTGCTTCCTCATGTGGCTTCTACAGCACTCCAATTAAGTAAGATCCTACGAGAATGTGTCATACACAGGCGGGCTGTTTAGCATAGCGTCCGCCACTTTGCCCGATACCGCCTCAGATCCTTCTGACTCGGTCCTCTCAACGAGGTCAGATGGGTGTGGGACGAGTGAGACAACATGTTGTGGAGCACACAGCGGAAATCGTTCCTCATCATGGTATAAATGTCATTATGACCCATTGCATAAATAACTCCCCCTTTTCGGGCTTACGCTGAGTAAATGCATTTCAGTTTAAAAGCATAGCCTGATGGCTTAATGCTTCAACTCAATACTTCAACTAATGCTTCAACTGGAAACTTTGTAGACATCAAATCAGGCTTCACTTCGGACTAAATACGTCTGATCAAATTGTTTGTCACCAAGCGGCTGGAGTGAATTGTGGTCCAAAGTAAACTCTCATTATCTTATTCTTATGCAGTACGAGGAACTTCCTATGAGCACTGAGTAATCTGCCTTATGAAACAGGCATTAATATATGAAACGTCACAAAAAATGCTGATATAAGCCAAAAAGCAATCAACTTGATATTAAACGAACCATAAACAAACTACAGAAAAACGGAATTGCAAAAAATTATAATGTCGCGTATTTGAGATTGCGACGGCCGAACTGGCTTTATGACTCTTCTACAAATTATCTTCCCCCAACCTCAAACTCGCCATGGAGAGCAAAATAGTTAGGGTCTTTTCTCCACCTAGACTATTGTGGCAGACTCCTACGGTTTAAATCACTCACGTTACAAAAATATAATCAAGTATTCACTATTTCTGTCCTGGGAAGTCCTTCTAATCGACAAATTGTTTTTTTAAAAATAAAAAACAGGCCTCGATTACAACGCACAGGTAAAGCGGCTTTTTCGGAGTCAGCCATTTAGGGTGAATGTAAGTACAGAGCATAAACACAGACTGCAATGGGCCTATGTAGAACGAGACCTTTTCTATGCAACCCCCTGCCTGACATCATATTTTGTGTGTGCAGATGTTATTAATCCAGCAATAGGAATGGTTTTTGAGAGACAATCAGAGAAAAAAACTGTACCGGTCCGCCATAAAGTCTCGGAAAAATCAAATCCCTGGCAAACACCAACATGTCTAAAGGCATTGAAGACTATCGTGAAATTAACAGGTCTCCGGCACTTTAACAGATCTGGTCAACATTTTGCACACCAGAAATGCCAACAACGGTGACAATTAAAAGCACATGGGCTGTGAAAAAGGCTGAGAACAAAACATCGAATCTTGATACTATGCTTAATTTCCAACTATAGCATTTGTCCTAAGTGAGAATTGCTTGCCCGTTGGCGACTCGTTGTATCCTCTATCATGCTAATACGGTTGTTCCTAATATTGCATCTCGTCTAGAACCATCCAACACTAAAACCTTGGCCTGCTTATTCCGCAAATTATTGGAGTAACCTTAGTAATATTCGTCTGCTGTGGTCTTCAATGACGTTTTACTAGGGAGTAAGTCACTGCAAAGTAACCCCTTTTATAACTGCACGTGGAAGCAGGGGAGAGTATGTCGTATAATCTACACCTTATCGAAAAACATCTTTTAACGTCGTTTTTCTATCAAACGCGCAATGATGCTCTTATGTAAAGGCGTAAACCTCCTAAAAAGGCTTCCACACAAGGGCATGGTATTCTAGGTTCAGCCATGATTGTTATAAGCGCCGCCTCGGTATCAAGTAAATCAGTGGAGTAGTCCTCAACGTATGCTTATTGATGTCCAAAGGACTTACTATATTAACCAAATGCACATCTACAAATTATCCTCTCCTAATTGCAAACCCGCCATAAAAAACAACATTTTTGGTTTTTTTCCTTCATCTTAACTATTGCGACAGACTCCTATGATTTCAATCACATAAGTTGCAAGAACGTCATAACAAAATCACTATTTCTGTCATTGCAAGTCCTTTTTTTATTAACAAAATGTATTTTTAAATAAAAAAACAGGGTTGGATTCCAATGGACATTTAAAGCATATATGCGACACCGAGCACAAACAACATGGGGCGTATGTAGAACGATATTCCTGCTATGTAAACCAACTGTCAGATATCATCTTTCATCTGTGCAAATGTTTTTAATCGGGCAATAAGCATGGTTTTAGACAGACGATGAGAACATGAATATAGCTGACTGTTATACAGTCACGGAAATATCATGTCACTAGCAAACACCAGCATATCTAAAGGCATTGAATACTATCGTGAAATCTACAGGTATCCGCCACCGGGACATATTTGGTCAATTATCTGCACACCAAAATACCGGAAACGGTGACAATTAGTGGCATATTGGCTGTAAAAATGCTACAAAAAACACCGGATCGTGATTATATGCTTACTTTCCAACTATAGCATTTGTCCCAAGTAAGCATTGCTTGCCCGTTGGCGACGCATCTTATCCTCTATCGTGCTAGGACAGTTGATTCTAATATTGCATCTCGTATAGAATCATGCAACACTGAACTGTTGGACTGCCTAGTCCGTAATTTATTTGAGCAACCTGAATATAATTCGTCAGCTGTGGCCTTCGACGGAATCTTGCTTGGGAGTAAGTAACTGCAAAATATCTTTTTTATAACTTCACATGAAGGCTTCCAAACAAGGGCGTGGAATTCGAGAGTAAGCCGTGTGGGCAAGTGTGCACAACACATTAAATTAATGCGAGGTACATGTCCATAATGTTGATATAATGCAAGATCTTAGTTGAAACATGCCTGCCTCATGCTGCCTTGCTTTATTGGTAGGCGTTCAAACCTGCTACCGCGTTAGAGGTCATTTGATTGGTTCATGTTTCATTCCGAACATTGTTTTTAACGTCAATCAAGCCTATTTTGGTAACGTTATGTGCGTCAGTCAGACGAATTCAGAAAATGTATAAATATAGGAAACCTAGAAGCGTTTCACTTACACAAGAAGTCTAGAAAGTAAGTTACAGCAGCATCATGCTCCGACATCGTCCCGATCTTGGGTGATTGTATCGTGCGCATTTATATTATAATATTTCATTGCACTGATAGTAACTTTACCGCATTTTAGTGCCATTATTTACACTTGGCATTTTGTGCGCATTCTTCATTATAACATTTGGTAAGTACCTTGACAATATTAGATGTTCCTTAATAACTTGGTTCGCCATAATTTTCGAAAAAGAATCAATCGTGTGTACCTGAATGCTTGTTTGCCTATGCTAACTTCTAGGTAATTACGATAACACTTTCCATGTACAACCGAATGCAAACTTTACAGTCATGTGGCTTTCTGCAGGAAAGCCGACAGTGAGTCTCCATATCCATGCGATAAGCTGTCTTTGTCTAAAATTTTAAGCTTTTTAATTTTTAAAATTGTCATTTGGTATGGTGCTTTTGTAGTCAGTTATGCTAGGGAATATGTCAGTTCCGCAAGGCGACCGCTCAAATCCTTGCAAAGTTGGAGAATTCTGCTGGCAGTTGCTGAGTGGTAAGTATTTGCTCACAACAGGTCTTCCTTTCGATCAAGTGTCATCCTATAACTCCCTCCTATTTGACACTTCTGATTGTTAAGATGAAGTTGACAAATTTAAAGCCAGCTATAAAAACATGCGTTTGCTTTTTAGATAAGCAATACTCATCGCTTCAGACACAATCAGTGCCTGGAAATGGAATTATTTTTTTAACAGCAAATGATAGCCGTCATTCCACTTCTGAAATTTTCGTCAAAAGTATTAACGGATCTTCGCCAAGTAAATCCGATATGTTTATATAATATTTTGTATGCTATGCAGGTTACATTATACAATCATATTTTACTGATAATTTTTATTGTATAATTTAGGGCGGCATATGTCGGTATAAGCGTTTGCCAAGAACTAGACACCTAAAACTGTAGGCGGTTTGCTCAAGTGCGCTTGGAATGCATCCAGTGACTATCCGTCGTATTTGAGTTCCCCAAGCGAATAAAAACACAAAAACGGGTTTCGCAGTCGAGCGCTAGCAATGGAATAACGACAATTATGACCGCGGTGACAGTTCGACCATCGGTTTCGATGATGTCCACCGTGTGCTCCACAGTTGCAGCAGCAATGGGATCAGGGACGGTGACTTACGCAGGGGTTTATAGTGCCGGTAGACTTGCGTAGCATCTACCTACACTCTCTCCTCCTCCCTCGCCCAAGCCAGGTGTCAAGACGGAGTCAAGAAGACCGGAGACGAAGGAGGCCGCAGATGGATGGCTCGGACGGATCCTCACCTTGGCGTTCCATCACACCGCCTGGTCCACACAACAAATGACCAGTATTTTAACCAGCACAACAGATATTGGAGGCTGCCACGACCGAAGCCGCACCTAGGCATGCCACCAACGCGGTAGAAGGATTATTGCAGCATAAATGGCAGGCATGAGGGCAACAACTCTCAGGTCTGGTCATATAAGTGTGGGGTTGTAGGGTAGATTAAACAGATGGTATCGCCAGTCCGAAAGAAATAAGGGCGCATTAAATGTGCCACCAGACTGACGTCAGATACTTTCAAAAGATGCAAAAGGTCATAGGAACTTTCTGTATTATGAAGTGTATTCTTACAAACGATTTAAATTGCCTAAGACCAAATAAGACTTTGTAACCCGGGATGGGAATATTTAAAATAGCGGAAGAACACCTTTCAAAACACGATTGTTGATTTTTTTTCGCAAATATAAACGAAATTATTGCATATTTCGGGAACGTTAAAAACCTGTTTAACATGCAGATTCAACGTTCCCGGAAGAAGTGGGTTCACGTGGAGAGCTTCATATAGACATCAACAATCCAACTACGGTATACATAGTATATGATACGGATGTCTGGGTAAGCTATTTACTTTGCTCCTATGACTTAAAAGTTACGACTATGTCTACTGTTGATTTCTTACCATATTCTGCTTTTCAGGACACAGAAACCAATGGGACAGTGCAGATCATAAATGAGACATTTAACTCACTTGATAGGCATTGGTTGATAGTCCCCTACCGTACGTCTGTATTTTTAAGCAATTCACTTTTTATGGCACTACACGAATGACAACTTGGTTGTTGCGTTCAAAATTTGCCAGATGTTTGACTGTTGATGCGATCGTTTATTTAGAGGCTGTCATCCAATATACTGAGCACCATATAGTCCTGTTGACATACAGTGAGTGGGCGATCTCATGAAATGTTGGCTGAAATTCTGAAATGCGTTTTCGATTAGGAAGGGTTACGTGGTCGCGGTTGTACTACTGATTATCTTGCAACCTTATCTCAAAGCATTTTGGACTCGGCAGGATGCCCGCTTTTGAATACACTGCTTTCCAATCTCCTGTGGAAACCGTACTTGGCGAAAGATGACCACTCCAGGAGCATGCATTTTTCCCATTCTTGCAAATTCAAATCTATTTTATCGAAACCATAGACAAAAATATGCTTTCTTTCAGTCTGTTATAGAGAATCACATCTTTTATATAATTGTTACTCAAGGAAGGCGTATTATGATGTTTTAACAATGTTTTCTAATTACCGAATTATTTGAAGCCTGATCATTCGTTGCATTATCGCTTAGTGATTGCAGTATAAAAAATGCATGCGTTCCGCGTAAAGAATAGCACACATTTTTCTATGTCATTAAAAAGATGTCATATAGTGTCCACAAAATTTTTCAATGGGTGCGGACTATGTTGCACATTTCATGAGGAGCCGTGGTAAAGGGAAAGGTACGATGCTTTGTGAATGGACATTGCGCGACCTTAAAAAAATCTCGTAATTAGACACTTTTTAATACCCAATTATACCTTATATTTTATGGACTATATATGCTGTCTTTTTAATGGCATCGAAAAATGTGCGATTTTCTTGAGGCGGAACTCTTGTATCTCCTAGGATAAAATCACTAAGCGCATAGGCAACGAACGATCAAGTTTCAAATAATTCGGCGATTAAAAAAAACATTTTTAAAACCTCATGGTACTCCTTCTTTGACAATTCAGTATAAAGAAGACGTGATTTTCTATTAATTGACTGAAAGAAAACTTATTTTGATTTTGGTTTCAATAAGATATATTTGAATTTGCAAAATCATCGAAAGTCCGTGGGAAAAATGCATGCTACTTAATTAATTGTTTTTTGCCGAGTTCGGCTTCTACAGCAGATCGAAAAGCAGTGTATTTAAAAGCGAACATCCTGCGGAGTCCGAAATATTATAGGATTATGCCGCGAAATGATCAGTATTAAAACCGCGAGCACGTAACCCTTCCTAATCGAAAACGCATTTCAAAATTTTCGCCAACATTTCATGAGACCGGTCACTCATAATATAATTCATGCAAATGTTGATATTTTAATATGACTAACAGTTAATGATAAATACCAAGAGTAATTGCTGAGATCGAGATATTGCTGTTCTTATAATGTCTGGTGTTTACTATGGGGATTCTTCACCATATTACGGCCTTGTGCTAGGCTGCCTTATCATAATTTTTAATGCGCGTAGTACATGTCCGAATTGAAAGAATTTAGTGATATTTTGAAATAGTTGCTTTAGCCTATCGTGCTAGTTTAAAACATTTCATCCATTTTATTGAATGCAAATGTGAGTAAATAATGTTTAAAAGCATATATATTTAATTGATACATGCACAACTATAGTAATTATTTTAGTAGATGGCATTGTATAATAGAGGAATGTTCTTTGTTTTTAAATTATTGACAGTTCACGGGTTGTTTAAAGGACGGGACGCGGTCATGCTGACTGGTCACATTAGAAATGTGACTCTGCACTACAAAATCAAAGTCAAGAACGTAATGGAAATCTGGTCTGTAATTCCAAACGCGACAATTGTACTACATAGAGCAATCCACGTTTCGTTCAACAACACGGATGACATTGACTCGTTAACGCAGTCACTGCGCATTTCTGGATGTAACTAATCGACGAATTCCATATGTTATCTACTAAATAACTCAAAGCCGACAGTTTTCAAAATTCGTCAAAATACTTTCCGTTTTTGTAAATGCTTGCCTTTAAATAAATGAGAACATAATTGCTTTGTTGATGACGCGTTGAATGGTGGTTAACAGACATTTAGTGAGCTAACTCATGAAATGTGTCGAAATTTACGAAGGATTTCCAATCACTCGCAAACCGTCACTAGTTCGTGAGTCTTATGTATATGTTAAATGAGTACAAGTTTAACAGAATTAAAAACATAGAAGAAATATTAAAGGCAGTTTAGCATTGTGTAGATATTCTGATTTATTTTGAAAAGCGCAATATCGCGAAAACTTCAGAAATGGTTCTATTAAAGGGAAGTTTTTTTTTTGTTGTAAATGATATATTATCATAACAAAAACGTTGTAAACATGAATTTTCACATGCAATAAGGTATAATAGCAGAATGTTAGTGAACTTTAACATCTCAATATCGTTTGTTAAGTATTGTGATTTCATAAATGACAGTTTGTCAACTGCCTACATTCTGAGTGTATATTCCGAAAGAGTTTTCTTGTTTTTTTGTGTTTTCCTTGAATATTTCGAGTTAAATGAGATATGGTTCAACAAGAGAAGCTGGATTTTTCTTGATTTAGGCGGTGGGAACTTCGTAGGATCAAAAGTTACATAAGGTGACATGCCATGACACCCGTCGCTGCCTCATAAATTTAAAAAGAACAGACAGTCGTGATCGTGATCATAACATGTTCTGCTTATAGAGAGAACTTTCTTCCGTAAAATTAATTTATACTTTTCCTTCTTTTTTGGGTTACGTTGAGTTTTCGATCGGCCTCGAAATACTTCATGATTTTACCTGATCGTACAAAAAGACAGCTTCTGAAAGGCCTCTATTTTAAGAACTTGAAAATTGGATCATTCTTAGTGGCATTGAAGCCATTTTTACTGTTATACCTCGCTTTTAAACTCTGTTCTTCGATCATGAATGCATGGCAAAACGCCCATATAAATACTGATATTTTAATAAAACTATTAATGCTTTGCACGTTTCAGTTCTGAATAAAGTATGGGCAGAGGACAAAATACACGACAAGCTGGAAATGACTATTCCGTAGTGGTCATCTATGTGACATGAGTTAGAATGTTCCAAACGCCAAAACAATTTCGGCCTATTTAAATTAAGTAATTCATATCTGCGTTATTACTGAACTTTAGGGCACCAATCCGCACATATCTGCTAATTTGAATTTTAGGAATTTATAAAACCTCCGGTTTTCCAAAATAATCTTTTCTTTAGCAGGTTCATCACCATGGTTAACATCGAACATAAAATAAAATTCATAGTCCGCCTGAATCTGTTTATTAAAACTCCCGAGGGTATTTGTTTCCTTTTGATGAAAAAGTCGCCTAGATGCGTCACTGGAGTCTAGGAAATGTATTAGTATATGAACCTGCACAAATATATTCTAACGTATGTTTTTGCTAAAATTCCCTGATATTATAGTTGATATAATTACGTAAGCACAATTGCGGAACAAGAAAACGACATTTCATTGAAGGATGTAGGTAAGCGATCAAAATGCGCTACGTTAAAGACGTCCAGAAATTCTCCCTTTAGATTCCGTTTTCAGGTTTCATGAGATAGATCACGTGCTGTATGGCCGGCGCCCCAGGAAAATGAGGTCTATGTACACATCTAAGATAGGCACTTAGTATAAGGATAGGCCAAATCGGTCAGGTAGGTCAAATGGCTAATTATAACCGGTGCTTGCAACGAACTTACGATGATTTCGCCACGGATGCTCTTGATGGCTGAGATGTGCGCTGTGCCTCGAATGAAGTTTCATCGAGTCAATTCCTAATTAAACAGAAGGTGATTGAAATATTTCTTTGATGTAAAATCGTTAGACGCCGCTTTAGCTAGCAGTGTTCTTTGTCATTACTAAAAATGCACATGTACGTAGATAAGTCAGAAGGAACCAGTCAACTCAACCGCATCATTAGAATAACGCCGCGCAAAATTAAACCCCATCGTTTCTGCGCTGTGGTCAACCTTGTCAAAATCTTACGTAGATGCGAAATCACTATATCTCTCTTGATGCTAATAAAATCTGTGTTAACAACCGTTGGAGCCCACCGATGAATTACATCACAGATGCCAAGACAGGCAACTACCCGTGGTCCACCGCCAAAGCGCAGGTGGTTGACTTTGATAGAAAACCATCCGGCTAAGCGATTGCTGTTTTAGCAAACATGATTGTGCTGACAACTTTTTTTACCCGTATCTTGTGCGACACATTTTCAAGATATCACTATTCAGGGGACTTATTTCAGATTATCTTAAATACCCAAATTCTAGGATTTCTTCCTAAATACTATTTTGTGGGGGCTTTGAAGAAGAGCTGCGTTCCTCACCTACAGAAGGGAATTTGCACTTATATATCGCCAATGAAACAATCGTGCCTGGTGCACTCTGGGCTAATCCTCCGGGGGCACTTGCGAAGACTCGATTGATGCCCCTGAAGGAATACCCTGATGATTCCTCACTGTCCCGTGGGACCGTGATCAGATAGAAGTGGTTTAGAACACAATTTGGCAAATATTTGTGCTGGAACTCGGGGAAATTGCTGGTGCCCTTCAAAACAATCTGAACACGTTACCAAATAAAAAAACAATTATAATCGACTGCATCTTCAAACCAAGGACGTCAGGATTTTTGAAAGCAACCGAGGCTACAATTGATATATACGTTCTACCCTTCTTTATGCCTTGAAGTGAAGAAGCTTACGATTGCTTTATTTATCCGATGCAACCTTTGCTGGTAGTCCCCATAATTAA